TTTTATAAATTGCAATAGTACCTTGATTAATAGTATTGCAATCTACTTAGTTCTATAACTAAAATCTTGCAAGCTGGTAAAACTTCATCAACGCAGTAAATTCCTTCAGAGTAAATACTGCCACTAGCTCTAATGGAACAAAATAAGACAGCAAATTTGACATCAGGTTTAGAGATACGCAGTCACCTGGAGTATACTTTATAGGCTGGTCTTAGAAGGAGATAATGTAACAAGTGTTTAATATATATATGCAGATGACTCCTATGCCAATGTGCAGCCCAGACCACCAAGAAGGAAAATGCAGACAACACTTTACTCCATGCTTGCTACACTGCATTTCTTTTACTGTCATTTCTAACATCAACAATACTAATGTTAATGTGTTATCTCAATTAATATCCACTATTTTGCAATTGCTCCAGAAAGTACAGAAAAAAAAAAGGCTTCATTACTATATGCCACTAATAAAGTTAGGAAAGCATTTATGTTATATTATATCAGTAGTTATCTTTAAGTCTTTTTTTTCCTTTTCCTAGAAGATATTTTCTGAACAACAACTTATTTGCATTGAAAGTAAAGATAAAATGAGATTGTATCTGAGTAGGAGCCTACAAGACCTGACTCAGCAATACAGGTTTGAGAAGAAGGACTGACATTCAACATAAGGGTTATGATTACAACTATGTTATATCAACACCCTTTATTAATAGTTTAAAAAAACACTCCCCTATACACATTATCTCCTAATGCTTAAAACCACACAGCGAGGTAAAGAAGGCAGGTATTATCATATTTGTTCTTAAACGAGGACACCATAGTTCAGGTGAAAACAACCTGCCCAGGGAAACAGGCAGCAAACAACAGTGCTCTTTTAGAAGAAATCATTTGAACGGAATGTAGCCAAACACCAACAGATTATATAGTGAAATTTACTTGATGAAAACATTATTATTAAAATAGTATTAAAATAGTACTGAAAATGTCTAAAGAATAAATTAAAATGGTGAAGGAAAAAAACTGCCCAATTTGGTTTCTCTAAAATTTCAACTAAGGCTTTCAAATACAGTTAAAAACTACCATACAGATCCTTTGGCGGTGAATCTAACTTCTTCTAAGCACAGGGAAAAATACATGAATTATAAAAACAGAGGACACTACCAGCAATCCCAGTCTTTCATTCACAAATGCAGCTAGACAAGCAGGGATCACCAGCTACCTGAAGAAATCTACTACCACCAAAAAAGAACGAAAATAAACAAATGAAAAAAATTACTTAAAGTGAAGAAAAAAACTTAGAAATAAAATCTATTTAGTGTCCTAAAAATAAGATTATATTATATAAGTAAAATAAGAGCAGGTGGCCATAAACTATAAAGAATTCCCAGGAATATAAAGTAATAGCTGAAATAAATAATTCAATGAAAGGCTAGAATAACAAGTCAAGGAAATCTCCCAGAACAAAGGAAAAAAAAAAAAAAACAAAGGCATGGAAAATGGAAAAAAAAAAAAAGGAAAACAGTGCATTGATATGTAAGCTCTAGGGGAAATTTTTTTTAAACATAAAATACAGACAACATAGAAGGGAAGAAATAAAAGAAATACGGATTTTCCGGATCTGAACAGACGCTAAAAGTCTGCATTTTCAAGCAGTCCACTGAACGAACACTTTACAGAATGAATTAACAAGGACTATAACTCATCCTCAACTTTCGTAATGCCGAAGGTCAAGGGGCACCAACAGAAGAAGTTTCCAGAGAGCAGAACAAGTCGCTTACAAGCAAGTCTTCACGTTAGCACCACATCTATGACCAGTAACCCTGGCTACTAAAAAGCAGTGGAATGCAACCCTCAGAACTCTGGAGGGGAATGATGTCACCTGCATTCTGTACCCAGCCAAGGTGCGTCAGGTGTGAGGGTGAAAAGGACATTTTCAAACACCCTTCTCACCTGACAAGCACCCCCCACACACGCTCTTTCTGAAAAACGACTGCAGGAAGTATCCCAGAAAACTGCAAAATATAAATCCCAAACAAAAAGAGAAAGTATGTCTCAGAGCACAGGACTAGTCCAAGAATGCAATTAAATGGCATAGTATTAGCTGAACATCAAACCCAGATAAAAAGGCAATTCCTATCAGAACTTCAACAGGCAGCATTTCAAAGATGGGTAACTGGACAGCAGCGTGGTGACTACCGGCGGGAAGGGGGTGGGTGGAGGTGGAAGAGGGTGCAGGGCGGATAAATGATAATAAAAACAAGTAAAAACTAAAGATGGAAAACCAAGTGACGTTATGAAGGCATACACCCTTCTACCAGTGGGGGGAAATGTGGCAATCGGAAAATCCAGGATAAAGAGTCACAGCCCACACTAAAATGCAGCATGATCCCAAGCACCAGCGGCATGTAAGAATCCACTTGTTCTCAATGGATCCCCAACGCTCATCACACTACTTTGTTCAGCAGTTAATGTTCTTTAACTGCTGAACACAGCATAACGCTGATTACTGCTTTGTGGGATCAACGAGCATAACTATACACCCTGATAATGGGAAATAAATGCTACAGCTACCATAGATGGGGAAAGAAATGTGTGGAATTCAAGGGAAAGGTTGTAACAGGAACTGATTTTTCTTAACTTATAAAGTGACAAAATATGTCTAAGTAATTCATGAAATTAATGATTCAAGAGCTAGAAATTTAACCATAAAAGGCCCAAAAAATGAACAGTAAGTATCACAAGTAAAATTGTTCATTTTTCATAGTGGGGCTATACTAGATTACTTAGTCAAAAATAAAGTGTAACATAGTATTGTATTATATATAAAACTGGAATAATCAGCAGAAGAATTAAAAATATACAAAAGGTCGAAAATGGTTACCTCTGAGGAGAGAAACTAGTTGAAAGAGGTAGAGGTAGAAAGATTTTCACTTTTCATTTTATACCTTTGTGTATTATTCCAAGTCTTATGTTTATAAGACTATTACCTCCTAAAATTAATACACACGTGTACTCACACACAAACACACACCATCACCAGAATCCTCCCTCCCTAACCAATGCAGGAAAAACACCGAGGAATTCTTTTTGATTTTTTTTTCCTTTTTCTACATCCCATGTCATACACTCCAACCTTCTATACTGGTGCTTCAGAGAAGACACAATTAAACAGGTTCAACAACTACCCTAAACCCATGATAAAACGTGCTGGTGGTAACAGTTTACATTTATGTTAAAACTGTCCAAACATCCATATCATCTTATTTAATCTTCACAAGAAACTTTTAAGAACAATTTTAGAGATTAATAAAGTAAAACTTTTAGAGTCAAGTGACTTGCCACCCCCCAAAAAAACAAAGAAAAATATAAATATAATGGATAAGTTAGAAAATAAATCAAAAACTACCTTCCTTCATACAGCACTGAAATCTGAAAGTGCTTTCCCAATTTCTAGTATGAGAAATAACATGAAAAATTAAACAGAACACAAATAGTTGTCCACCTTGGAAAACAGTTTGGCAGGTCTTATGAAGTAAAACATACACTTACCAAGTGACCTAGCAATCTCATTCCTAGGTTACTGACCAAGAAAAATGAAGACGTCACACAAAGACATGCGTGCAAATATTCACAGGAACTTTATTCATAGCAGTCAATAACTAGAAACAGCCCGAAGGTCCATCAGCTGTTAAACGGGTCGAATGGACTAGGCCCAGACAGCAAAACACTACTCCACAATAAAAAGGAACAAGCTAACGATATACACAACAACATGGATGAATCTTTAAAGTACTAGGCAATGTGAAAGTTATCAGACACGAAGGACTACATATGGTATGATTCTACTTTATGAAATTCTAGAGAAGCGAAATTAGAGTAGCGGCCGGTGAGTGGTTACCAGGGAAATGCAGGAACTTTTTCAGGTGATAGAAATGTTCTAAGTCATGATGATAGTGTTTGTTACCCTGCTGTAAAAATTTAGCAAAATTCATCAAAGTGTAGACTTAAAACTAGTGAATTTTATTATATGCATAATAAATAACTCATTAAGGTTGATTTTTAAAAAGCTCAGTGATACATAAACATATTTAACTCTTCTCAACAGCTCTTCAACATAGGTATGAAATACAAACTTTCAAAGATTATTAAAATCACTATTTAAGAGGCAAATTTAACCAGAAAATAGATACACGGCACTTCCAAGTCCTGAGAATGAAAATGGCCCTCATGCTACTCAACTTGGCCATGTGAATAAACAATAGTTGCCTAGCAACTAATCTAAACTCTAGATTTCTAATAAACACATTGACCACATTAGCAGGTGATCTCATAGAGGATGTAAACTTATTTTAAGTTTTACATTGAAGAGTTCTTCCTTCAATAACACATTAGTATAATAATGCATTGAATTGTTTACCTAAAGTAGGAGTGAACAAGAAATACTAAAAGTAGATCATGAAAAATAAAAACATAAAAGTAAACACTAACACACAAACACACACAAACCCTCCCCTCATTTGGTCTTTCACCCCAGGACGTTACTTACCTACTCATGAGACTGCAGAAGACCCGTGGGTTTGGGGCTGAACCCTCCCCGCTACCGCCACCCAAATTGGCTTAATATAATTCAATAATTTTATTTATGTTTACATGCATTTAAGTTAAAGACACTTTTTAGGTATTAAAGCATTCTAAAGATTTCTCTTTGGACTGTAGCATCTGTAGACAACACAGAAAAATACAAGAGTTTTCTGTAACGTGCATGCACCACACAACAGGCCAGAAAGCCAAACTTGACTATAAATTATCAAAATCAAGAATTACAAAGAATCCCTAAATAACAAGCAAATTCCTCACACAGATAAAACATCATTTCTCTCTTACTGGGCATAGCATGTCAGTTTACTTTGTTACCAGCATCAGAAAAACTATCAGCTTCCAGACCACCACCAACTGTTCGCACACTTACCAACCATACAATTTCGGTCGCGGTGAACACTTACCCCTCTTCTGAACCCAGCCTTCTTTCACAATGGTAACATCGCTCATGATGGCTCCCCACCAGCCCCCAACTTGGAGAAACGGTGCTCTGTGGTATCAGCTTTGGGGTTTGGATTCTCTGCTGCTGCTGCCCTTCCCACTCTCTAGTGATGACTCAGCCTGGAAGGAAGTATTGAAGAAAGAATTTCTTTTTTTTTTCCATTCTTGCAACTCACATAGCAATAACAAACAACTAATTCTTTGTAAATGTCTTCAACTGGCCTGACCTCACATAAAAGTCTAGCTCTTCAAACTGGGGAACTAATTTATTAAAGAGTTGTATAATGAATGCACTTCCCTGGTCTTGTGACAGATTTCAAATGATAGTGAAACTTTTAACCTAAGAGGTTGTAATAAAAAAAGTCCTAAGAAAACCGCTGTCACACCTACACAAATAATACAGAGAATTTGTTTAGTGATTATGTTTCAGGTGGAAGGGAAGAGAATGAAAGTGAACTAAAAGTAAATCTTCACCTGCGTCTAGTTTCAAAATCTCTGTAAACTTAAAAAGTTAGGGGAAAGCAACTGGGAGTGTCTTTAATGGTTGCATTTTATGTAAAATCATATGTGCTGAGAAACTAACATGTATGCTTACTTTGCCTTGTTCCAAGAAATATTTTAGGTTGATTACAATAAGTAAAATATTGTAAATGATATAAAGTCAATGATTTTTTAAACTAGACAAAGGGAAACAAAGGAACTGTGAAAGTGGAAAACAGTACGGAACGTGCAAGGTATGTGGAGAACGCGCAGAAGCGCTTAAACCTATTCTTCTCAGGTAATCTTCACAACCAACTGATGAGGGTTCAAGTAACTGCATTTCACAAATGGTGGGGGCTCTGGGGGCCACAGAGATTAAGCAGCTTGCCCGATTTGAAAATGGAACGGCGGAGCCACGATGTGCGTCCCGGCGGCTGCATTCTCGACTCCAAATCCGCGTTACGTTCAACCAGCGAGTTTCAGCGGTCATGCAGCAAGAATTTTTAAAGCAGGCTCTACCTGACGGTTTGGTCTGGGGCGCGGACCTCTTTTTCCTCAGACGGCCAAATAAAAAAATGACAACAGCCAACACAACAATAGCCGTACAGTGTGAATATATCAAAATGATACTTATTTTTTGTCAGAGCAGCAAAAAATGTATTTCTTGGTGGGCTGCAGAATTTTAGTAATCAGTCTGTGTGTGCCATAAGATGGAAAAGGTTGAAAATTACTGCCTTAAATAAAAATAGAAAGAAGCCGAAGTAAAAAGTCTATGTATTTGTGAAAGATGGGCCACAAATTTAGCAGGAGCTTTCAAGAAGCAATGCAAATACAGAAACACAATGGTTTCAATATGTACATTATCTGTATTTTTTTTTAATTAAAAAAAAAAAGTTACTCAGAAGGACTAATTCTTCCTGGGACAAAAATCTGAAATTCTGTTTTCTCATGGGTCTTCACAAGACACCTTATAGTGTAAAAAACAAAGTCCTCAAAAATACCCCCACACATAAATAGCAATGAGTTTTACTGGGCAATTTCTTATTGTCCCTCTCAACCTAAAAAGGAAAATACCGAGATAAAATTAAGTGAGCACATTTCCACGGAAAGGGACCAACGCGTGGTCCAGGAACACAAGCGCAGATGTTAGCCAGAAAAAATGATGGGTGGACTATGCAATACTCGTCTGCTACTTTCTCCAGCTGGGTTTTGACAAATATAAAGGTTGGACTCCTTAGCTAGCACTAAAATGAATTACAGTTTTCTTCCCAATGCCCGTTAAGTGCACAGACTAATCGTGCAGCAGTCAGGCGTCGAGATGACAGTCTGACAAAGTTTGTGTGGCTAAAAAGAAGGCCACCCCCCTCATGGGCCAGGGGGCGGCAGGCCAAGACCATCCTCCAAACCATCGGCTTTCCTACTGTGGACAGCCAAAGGGATATTGGAATCTGGGTGTATTTTCCCCAAATATGCTTGACAGAATATGAAAGGAAATTCGGGATAAATAAGGGAGATAGAAAAATTCTTTGGTCAAATAACTTGGGAAAATTCTACACACCATGTCTTTCTCTTGAAACAGCACTATTAACATATTAAACATCTCAGCAAGTCCTACATTTATTTGAACAACAGGGCTCTTTCTTTCTCCTTTGGTAACACGTACTAACATCCATAGGAACAGAACACACTTCTGGAAATGGCCACAGAATGTAGCCACATCATCCAAGACGAGACCCGTCTCACCATTCAAAACAGGCAACAAACCAAAAAATCCTTCAGTACAGAATCCAAAGATGATTTTAATTTCATTTATGAGACCTAAAGAACTCAACATGGTCAACTGACTACATAATACATACGGAGCTAAATAATTAAAAGGGTGAACTCTTTGCATAAATAATCATGAGGAAGTTAAATAGGGGCAACACTAGCACAAAATGATGTCTTTGGAGGGGCTTCCCTTTAGACCTCCTAGTCCGCAGCACTGCAGCAAGGGCCTTGTATGTATCTAAACAATTCTTGGTTTCTGACTATCACATTATATATATAGTCGGGGTAAAAAGAGATATATATCTTAATGTCCTCGGGATGAGAAATGGATGAGATCAAGGATCAACACTTAGTAATAACCAAAAAATAACACATATCCAATGCCCATATTTAAAACACACACTTTCCTAGTTAAATAATTTATATTGCCATACCTTTATTTAAAGAAAAACACCAGGAAAACAAAACTACTGTCAAAGTTGATTTTATTTTTTTAAGTGGACACGCCACTATAAGAATCTCAAAGCTGGAACGGACCTTGGTTCACAGTTGAGGAAAGAGTCAAGAAAACTCTCAGGCAAGTGACTCGCCCAAGGTCACACAACGACCTGTGAGAGACCCGAACGGGAACCAGGCAGGAGTCCTCCCCGCCAGCACTGCCCCTCTTGCACAAAACCACACACTGAGACAGCCCGATCAACCCCAAGTCAATGAATCTTGCTTTACAAAGACACTTTCAAACACGAGTATTTTAGATTTGAAAATGTGCTTATTTACATTAAACTGTTAAAATATATGTTAAATCAATAGGACAAAATTTATCATCTTCATCAGGGCCAGTGAACCCTACACATTATAGAGAACTTGATCCATTTGCATCTGCAAATGTGAACAGATTCTACCCAGTCATAGTTTTCAGCTTTCAAAATTGCTCCTGAGTCTCTACTGGCTAAAACGACACATTCTTTGCCCATAGCTTCAAAGACATTCAAAGGTATACCACCCTAGAACTGTGCTCACTCACCGGAGATAAATGCTCTTGTGTGCACAGAAACAGCGCTATTAACTCCTAATAAAGAGTTACCTGTACTCTTCTCGACTTCTCCTGCGGCGGCACTGTCCCCGCACCACAGCCACCTACTCTGTCCGGCGCAGCATCCCACGTCGCTACCAACACTGATCTGCGAGCTGACGAGCTGGGCTCCAGGATGCAATCTGTTCCCAAGGGCAGAGGGAACGGCCCCTCCCCCTGACAGTCCTGACCTCTGTGTAGAAGTTTGTCCTACAATGTCCAGAACTTGGTTCATTTTTCCTCTAAGCCTATCTCATCAAGCATTCCATTGCTGGGTAATCTAATTTTCCCCATTCTCATAAAAAATTTCACACAAAATTCTTGGCAGATACAATTTAGAATTTACACAAAGCAGTTGCAATAAAGGTGCTTTTGTTCACAATTATTTGAGAATTTGATGATAATAATAATTGCATCTGAATGTCATATTATAATTTAAAACACATTTTCCCATCTTTTACCTGACTCAATAGTATTATTAATAGTAAAACAAGTTGACAGTGCCTGGCACGTAAGAGACACTCCACAAACATGGAATAAATCAGCGGATTAAACAAGGAATGAGGATTCAGCCTTGATAAAGGACAGACCAAGCAAACTAATATTCTGAGTCAACAGAGAGAATGGTATTAAGCCATCTTCAAACCAAACCTGAATTTGAACATTATGGAAGCATCTACATATAAATCATTAAAATTATAATAAATATTCTCACTTATTCATTGAAATATATTTCCTATAGACTTCCATCAGGGGTAAAGACTATCACGTATTAAAATTGTCCTTTTGTTCTTAACAGTTTCGACTTCTTTTTGTTGTTGTTGTCATTAGGATGCTCAAGTTTCCATTCCTAAACAAATCAAGCATCAGCACTGCCCAAGATGATCCATGATGGGGGAGAAAAAGAAAGAACGGCATATTTTCTTAATGATACTTAAAAGAACATTTTAAAGACATTTGTTCCTTATGACAACCAACCATTCAATTTTAAGCAAATATCGAACTTCTTCAAACATCTTTTAAAAATATCATTCACTCAAGAAAACATAATATACACATATTTATTCAGTTAATAAATATGTGCTGAGTGCTCTGTGACAGGGACTATAGTGGTGAGTATACAGGGAAGCCAGCAAAAAAAAAAAAGTGTTTAAAAATCTTTTCCAAACCTTTAATAATTTGCTACCAACATGCTTTCACATATATTACCTCATTTGACTCTGAAAACAAATCTGTGTAGTAGCTATTGCATCTGCAATTTTGAATTTGGGAAAACCACGACCAACCAATAATGACATCACTTCCCAGTTACCAGAACACACTGGTGACAGAGAGTGACTCACATGCAATTCAAATCTCCTATCGAGTTTGGCATGCTTTCTACCAAAATAACATGATATGAACTCTCAAACATACATATCACATTTGAGAATAGTCCTGGACATTTTTTTCTGGATCAAATTATTCTTCAAAAGTCCAGTAAAGCACAACACTTTCAAAGAAATTAAAAATTAAATATTGTAACTGTGCCATCACAAATGAAACTATAACAAAAGACTGAAAGTAGGGGGACAAAGTTAAAGGTACTTCAGCAATTCTTTTTTATACAAATAAGAGCAAAATTCACAGGTTAACAATTTCCTATGTTAATTTCTAGGTAAAAAGCCATAACACAATTCTGTAATATAACTTTCTCTAAACTATAAATTTGGCTAGAGTTAATATTATGTGGAATATAGGTGCTGTACACTACAATTTTTTATATACTTTAGATACGCTGGTCAACTGAATTAATGAA